AGGGAAGAGTATATGGAGAAAAAGAGAGAGGTTAAGAGAGTGGTGAAGCAATGTAAAAAGAGAGCAAATGAGAGAGTGGGTGAGATGTTATCAACAAATTTTGTTGAAAATAAGAAAAAGTTTTGGAGTGAGATTAACAAGTTAAGAAAGCCTAGAGAACAAATGGATTTGTCAGTTAAAAATAAGAGAGGAGAGTTATTAAATGGAGAGTTAGAGGTATTGGGAAGATGGAGGGAATATTTTGAGGAATTGTTAAATGTTGATGAAGTTAGGGAAGCTGTGATTTCGTGTATAGGGCAAGGAGGAATAACATCTTGTAGGAGTGAGGAAGAGCCAGTTGTGAGTGTGGGGGAAGTTCGTGAGGCAGTGGGTGAAATGAAAGGGGGTAAGGCAGCTGGGATTGATGGGATAAAGATAGAAATGTTAAAAGCAGGTGGGGATACAGTTTTGGAGTGGTTGGTGCAATTATCTAATAAATGTATGGAAGAAGGTAAGGTACCTAGGGATGGGCAGAGAGCATGCATAGTTCCTTTGTATAAAGGCAAAGGGGACAAAAGAGAGTGCAAAAATTATAGGGGGATAAGTCTGTTGAGTATACCTGGTAAAGTGTATGGTAGAGTTATTATTGAAAGAATTAAGAGTAAGACGGAAAATAGGATAGCAGATGAACAAGGAGGCTTTAGGAAAGGTAGGGGGTGTGTGGACCAGGTGTTTACAGTGAAACATATAAGTGAACAGTATTTAGATAAGGCTAAAGAGGTCTTTGTGGCATTTATGGATTTGGAAAAGGCATATGACAGGGTGATAGGGGGGCAATGTGGCAGATGTTGCAGGTGTATGGTGTAGGAGGTAGGTTACTGAAAGCAGTGAAGAGTTTTTACGAGGATAGTGAGGCTCAAGTTAGAGTATGTAGGAAAGAGGGAAATTATTTCCCAGTAAAGGTAGGCCTTAGACAAGGATGTGTGATGTCACCGTGGTTGTTTAATATATTTATAGATGGGGTTGTATGAGAAGTAAATGCGAGGGTCTTGGCAAGAGGCGTGGAGTTAAAAGATAAAGAATCACACATAAAGTGGGAGTTGTCACAGTTGCTCTTTGCTGATGACACTGTGCTCTTGGATGATTCTGAAGAGAAGTTGCAGAGATTGGTGGATGAATTTGGTAGGGTATGGAAAAGAAGAAAATTAAAAGTGAATACAGGAAAGAGTAAGGTTATGAGGATAACAAAAAGATTAGGTGATGAAAGATTGGATATCAGATTGGAGGGAGAGAGTATGGAGGAGGTGAATGTATTCAGATATTTGGGAGTGGACGTATCAGCGGATGGGTCTATGAGAGATGAGGTGAATCATAGAATTGATGAGGGGAAAAGGGTGAGTGGTGCACTTAGGAGTCTGTGGAGACAAAGAACTTTGTCCTTGGAGGCAAAGAGGGGAATGTATGAGAGTATAGTTTTACCAACGCTCTTATATGGGTGTGAAGCATGGGTGATGAATGTTGCAGCAAAGAGAAGACTGGAGGCAGTGGAGATGTCATGTCTGAGGGCAATGTGTGGTGTGAATATAATGCAGAGAATTCGTAGTTTGGAAGTTAGGAGGAGATGCGGGATTACCAAAACTGTTGTCCAGAGGGCTGAGGAAGGGTTGTTGAGGTGGTTCGGACATGTAGAGAGAATGGAGCGAAACAGAATGACTTCAAGAGTGTATCAGTCTGTAGTGGACAGAAGGCGGGGTAGGGGTCGGCCTAGGAAAGGTTGGAGGGAGGGGGTAAAGGAGATTTTGTGTGCTAGGGGCTTGGACTTCCAGCAGGCATGTGTGAGCGTGTTTGATAGGAGTGAATGGAGACAAATTGTTTTTAATACTTGATGTGCTGTTGGAGTGTGAGCAAAGTAACATTTATGAAGGGGTTCAGGGAAACCGGCAGGCCGGACTTGAGTCCTGGAGATGGGAAGTACAGTGCCTGCACTCTGAAGGAGGGGTGTTAATGTTGCAGTTTAAAAACTGTAGTGTAAAGCACCCTTCTGGCAAGACAGTGATGGAGTGAATGATGGTGAAAGGTTTTCTTTTTCGGGCCACCCTGCCTTGGTGGGAATCGGCCAGTGTGATAATAATAAAAAAAAAAAATGAAAAAAAAAATGGCGTTCTGCCTTCCAGCGATGTTTGCTTTCCGGCGATAGCCTGGAACCTAACCGACTGTATAAGTGGGGCCCTACTGTATTACATGTTTTTTATGAAGTCATTTATTTTTATGAACACATCGGCCGTCTCCTACCAAGGTAGGGTGGCCTGAAAAAGAAAAACCTTCACCATCATTCACTCCATCACTGTCTTGCCAGAGGCTCTCTTACACTACAGTTATAAAACTGCAACATTAACACCCCTCCTTCAGAGTGCCGGCACTGTTCTTCCCATCTCCAAGACTCAAGTCTGGCCTCCTGGTTTCTCTAACTCCCTTCATAAATGTTAACTTGCTCACATTCCAACAGCACTTCAAGTCCTAAAAGTCATTTGTCTCTATTAGCTCCAATGTAACATGCTCACACATGCTTGCTGGAAGTCCAAGCCCCTCCTGGAGTATACCTGGAGAGGGTTTCGGGGGTAAACGCCTCCACGGTCTTGGCTGTGACCAGGCCTCATGGTGGATCAGGGCCTGATCAACCAGGCTGTCACTTGGCTGCAGGCAACCCGACGTATGAACCACAGCCCAGCTGGTCAGGTACTGACTTTAGGTTCCTGTCCAGTGCCTTCTTGAAGACAGCCAGGGGTCTATTGGTAAGCCCCCTTATGTATGCTGGGAGGCAGTTGAACAGCCTTGGGCCTCTGACACTTATTGTGTTGTCACTTATCATGCTAGTGGCACCCCTGCTGTTCATTGGGGGATGTTGCATCATCTGCAGAGTCTTCTGCTTTCATAGGGAGTGATTTTCATGTGCAAGTTTGGTACTAATCCCTCTAGGATTTTCCAAAATGTATATAATCATGTATCTCTTCCACCTGCATTCTAGGGTGTGCAGTAATTGAGGTGTTTTATCACAGTTATGTGTGCTGTGAAGGTTCTCTCTACATTTTCTAGGTCAGCATTTCACCTGCCTTGAAAGGTGCTGTTACTGTACAGCAGTATTTCAGCCTAGATAGAACAAGTGACCTGAAGAGTGTCATCATGGGCTTGGCATCCCTAGTTTTGAAGGTTCTCATTATCCATCCTGTCATTTTTCTAGGAGATGTGATTGATACACTATTATGGTCTTTGAAGGTAAGATCCTCTGACATAATTACTCCCAGGTCTTTTACATTAGTTTTTCGCTCTATTGTGTGGTTGGAATTTGTTTTATACTCCAATATAGTGTTAATTTCCTCACATTTTCCATATTGGAGTACATAATTGAAATTTCTCATCATTGAACTTCATAATGTTTTCTGCAGCCCATTTAAAGATTTAATTGGTGTCCACCTGGAGTCTTGCAGTGTCTTCAGTGGAGGACACTGTTATGCAAATTCGGGTGTCATATGCAGTGGAAGACATGGTGCTGTGGCTTACATCACTGTCTATGTCAGATATGAAGATGAAGAACAGGGTGGGAGCGAGTACTGTGCCTTGTGGAGCAGAGCTTTTCACCATAGCCGCCTCAGACTTTACTTTGTTTACTACTACTCTTTGTGTTCTGTTTGTTAGGAAATTATAGATAAATTTACCAACTTTTCCTGTTATTCCATTATCATGCATTTTGTGCGCTATTACAGCATAGTCACACTTGCAAAGTCTGTGTATATTACATCTGCATTTTGTTTGTCTTCTAGAGCATCCAGGACCTTGTCATAGTGGTCCAGTAGTTGGGACAGACAGGAGCGACCTGCTCTAAACCCATGCTGCTCTGGGTTGTGTAACTGATGAGTATCTAAATGGGTGGCAATCTTGCTTCTTAGAACCCATTCAAAAATTTTTATGCTATGGGATGTTAGTGCTAACATCCCATCCTCATCACCTTGCTCTTTCCTATACGTATTCACTTTTAATTTTCTTCTTTTATGTACCCTACCAAACTCATCCACCAACCTCTGCAACTTCTCTTCAGAATCTCCCAAGAGCACAGTGTCATCACAAAGAGCAACTCCCACTTTGTGTTGGATTCTTTATCTTTTAACCCCAAACTTCTTACCAAGACCCTTGCATTCACTTCTCTTGCAAACCTATCTTTAAATGTATTGAACAACCATGGTGACATCACACATCCTTGTCTAAGGCCTACTTTTACTGGGAAATATTCTCCCTCTCTCCTACATACTTGAACCTCAGCTTCACTATCCTCGTAAAAACTTCACTACTTTCAGTAACCTACCTTATTATTATTATTATTATTATTATTATTCGTAGTACTGTTAGTTAAAGTATTATTTTCTTATGTTTGAGGGTTGATGATAATAAATAATATAATAATCTCTGTTGGGGTCGATAATAATAAATAATATCTTCATTTCTACAAGTACATGTACAAAGTATATAGGCCTAGCTGACATCAGTGACATACTACTATATAGAAAGCCCCTTGTTATGCAGAGCATTTCAGGCAAATTAGGTTAGTTTTGTCCCAGAATGCAACCCACACCAGTCAACTAACACCCAGGAACCTATTTTACTGCCAGGTGAACAAGGACAGTAGGTGTCTTACGGAAACATGTCCTAGTGTTTTCACCAGTGCTGGTGATTGAACCACGGACTCAATGCCTGAGCTGAGTATGCTAGCAACTAAGCTAGGGATGATAAGCTCATGATATTGGGGATCCCTGTAGAGCATTGTACATAGTACTGGAGCTTTCACAGTATAAATAGTGTGCTTTTATTTCAATTTATATTCTGTATATATGTAAGTAATTTTAATTAGAGATTGAAGGTTTTATATTTTCTGTATATCAAATATTTTTCGATGCTTTGTGGATTTGATAATGTGTATATAACTTTGTTCATGAAAGTATATCATTTTCTCATTTACTTCTTACTTTCAGATCAAAGCCGTTGATTATCCTTCAGTAAAAAATCCCGTATCAAACTGGCGGCCTATCATGTACGAGTCCATCTTCATGTTACATGTTAAAAGTTACCACTCCCCATCACGTTCTTCCCTCATCATTTATGCTCCGAAGAAACATTTACCATGCTCTACAGAATACAGAGAGCTTACCATTCCCATTATGTTTGCTGCCGTTAACCAGAATAGAGCCACCGTTACCGTTCAGGTATGAATGTAGTATTATGTTTTACCCGATACATGTAAGAGTAGAGGCCAAATAAAATAATCCTTAAACATTTTTTGGAAATAAATTAATTATTATACATGAGTATGTGCTAAAAACATGAATCATAAGATGCCTGGGGAATGAGCAGGGTTTGATCTTAGAAAGTGAAGTTCCTTAGATCAAGAGCCCTTTACTAGCATTAAAACACTCCCTTGAAAAGATAAGCATGGGTAGTATGTTCCTAGAGGCACTTGGCGAATCCAAAAGCCATTAATACCTCCTTTTGCATATAATTTAAGGTGTTTAAATACTATTCTGTATTAGAATAGTACTGTTACCTTCAAGTGGGGTACTCTTGAAGGGTACAATACTGTTAAGCACTTTAAGGTATACATGTATGTACTTTTTTAGTTACTGGAAGATATTAATGATTCTGATAAAAAAGAAACAGAAAATAATTCAAACTTTTCTCAAATCATTAATATATTGAATGACTGATACACTCAGACATGAAGAACTATTTAAAGTGCTTAATGAGTCAATAACTTGAATAACAGTAATACCATAATCAGTTAAGCTCTAAAACAGTATGAGCCACCATAACTTGTAACAATGGAATGCAGTTGTGAGGCAGAAAGGGGATGTGTTAGACAAAGCAGATATGATGGTAACCAGAAGTAGAAACATTGGTACACATCTGTTGTGAGTGACAGTGGAGTGATACAAGTTGTTAAGAATGAAGATAAGTATTATTCTTATGTCTGTGGTACTTAACACAGTGTGATATGTACTACTGTGACTCTTGAGAGGTGAGAATTGGTGTATCTGAGACTTAGTACATTGCAGGTAGGCTTGCTGGGACCCCAAATGCTGAAATGAATTTTATGAATCAAAATGTGCTGTTCTGAATGCAGTAATAAATACACTGCATATTACAGTTTTCTTAATCACGATTACATTTTACATAATTAAACAAGAGTTAATTCCAAAAGGGCCCTTACGAAACATCCGGCTTTGGAAATTCTGAAGGGGTTTAATAATGTGTTTGTATACTATTAATGCCAGAAGCAAGGAGCTAGTAACCCCTTCTCTTGTATAAATTACTAAATTTAAAAAGAGAAACTTTCATTTTTCTTTTTGGGCCACCCTGCCTTGGTGGGAGACGGCCTGTTTGTTGAAAAAAAAAAGTATACTATTAGTCTTTAATGTAAGAAAGCAGCTCTTAGGTTATAGCTTTAATTTAACTGGGTAAAAAATAAGCCCAAATCTTCATTTGGGCTTATTACGCAATCACATAATCAAATGGCTATAGTTGAATATAACCTTACTCATTATGTTGCCATGTTTGCTATAAAAATTCTACTTGACAAATAAGCTACATATTTATTTACAATAAATTTTTAAATATAATTTGATATTCTTATGTCAGGTTGTATCACGAGGGCAAATCCAGTTCTCACGCACAGAAGAGCATGAACTACTTCCAACTAATTTACCACTCGATGAAGCACATTTAGTGGAACCTCTTCCTGAACCACCTCAGAACGTCGTAAGAGGATTCATTGAGATTCCAATTAGACTTCCACCAACAGCATCACCCAGAGCAAAGGCATGTAAACCTATATGGTTCTTCTGTTATGTATTAGAATAAAATTTCATATCTTACTTTCAGAGTGGGTAGAGAATGTGCAGATCAAGTGTTTACATTGAAGCATATATGTGAACAGTATTTAGATAAAGGTAGGGAAGTTTTTATTGCATTTGTGGATTTAGAAAAGGCATATGATAGAGTGGATAGGGAAGCAATGTGGCAGATGTTGCAAGTGTATAGAATAGGTGGTAAGTTACTAAATGTTTTTATGAGGATAGTGAGGCTCAGGTTAGGGTGTGTAGAAGAGAGGGAGACTACTTCCCAGTAAAAGTAGGTCTTAGACAGGGATGTGAATGTCACCATGGTTGTTTAATATATTTATAGATGGGGTTGTAAAAGAAATAAATGCTAGGGTGTTCAGGAGAGGGGTGGGATTAAATTATGGGGAATCAATTCAAATGGGAATTTACAGGGTTTCTTTTTGCTGATGATACTGCACTTATGGGAGATTCTAAAGAAAATTGCAAAGGTTAGTGGATGAGTTTGGGAGTGTGTGTAAAGGTAGAAAGTTGAAAGTGAACATAGAAAAGAGTAAGGTGATGAGGTATCAAATGATTTAGATAAGAAAAAATTGGATATCAAATTGGGGAGGAGGAGTATGGAAGAAGTGAATGTTTTCAGATACTTGGGAGTTGACGTGTCGGCGGATGGATTTATGAAGGATGAGGTTAATCATAGAATTGATGAGGGAAAAAAGGTGAGTGGTGCATTGAGGTATATGTGGAGTCAAAAAACATTATCTATGGAGGCAAAGAAGGGAATGTATGAAAGTATAGTAGTACCAACACTCTTATAATGGGTGGAAGCTTGGGTTGTGAATGCAGCAGCGAGGAGGCGGTTGGAGGCAGTGGAGATGTCCTGTCTAAGGGCAATGTGTGGTGTAAATATTATGCAGAAAATTTGGAGTGTGGAAATTAGGAGAAGGTGTGGAGTTAATAAAAGTGTTAGTCAGAGGGCTGAAGAGGGGTTGTTGAGGTGATTTGGTCATTTAGAGAGAATGGATCAAAGTAGAATGACATGGAGAGCATTTAAATCTGTAGGAGAAGGAAGGCGGGGTAGGGGTCATCCTCGAAAAGGTTGGAAGGAAGGGGTAAGGGAGGTTTTGTGGGCGAGGGGCTTGGAATTCCAGCAGGCGTGCATGAGCGTGTTTGATAGGAGTGAATGGAGACGAATGGTATTTGGGACCTGACGATCTGTTGGAGTGTGAGCAGGGTAATATTTAGTGAAGGGATTCAGGGAAACCAGTTATTTTTATATAGCCGGACTTGAGTACTGGAAATGGGAAGTACAATGCCTGCAATCTAAAGGAAGGGTTTCGGGATATTAGCAGTTTGGAGGGATATGTTGTGTATCTTTATACGTATATGTTTCTAAACTGTTGTGTTCTGAGCACCTCTGCAAAAACTGAATGATGATGAAAGTATTTTCTTTTTGGGGATTTTCTTTCTTTTTTTGGGTCACCCTGCCTAGGTGGGAGACGGCCGACTTGTTGAAGAAAAAAAAATCTTACTTTCTTTTTTTGGTTAACCAATTTTACATTTTTGGGTCAATTTTTTTCTTTCACAAACAGTCATTGAAAATTTAGTTTAAATTTTAAAAACCCTAAATAACAAAAAAGGCAAAATACCTAGACTTGAAAAACACAAAAACATGCACTTAAAAAGAGGAGTTTACAATGGCGTTTGACTCCACACTACTACTACTCCTAAACTACTCCCCTTTTTTCCTCCTGTAAATGTCACGGGCCTATATATATTCCCCCTTCTCTCTTTTTCTGTATTACTTTTTAAATGGTCCGGGTTTTGGACCAAAAAGTCGCGTAAACTCCTCTCTTCTATGTGGGGGTTATTTGTTTTTTTAAACCCTTAAATGGCCCACAGTATATTACATTCTTACGCGTAGCGCCCCAAACGTATCAAAGGGCCCTGCTTTACGGCGTTTCACTAACAGCGTTCCCTAAAACGGTCATTTCAAATTATGACCAAAACTCGCTAAAAGGGCTTCCCCCACCTGACTTTCAAATAAAAACCGCGCCCCACCTTTTTTTTTACTTCTTCGTGACCAGAAAGCACTAAGTCTCCCATTTTGTCTGGAAACTCCAAAATTTCAAATGTTTTTAAAAAGTTTTTTCTTTTTATAATACTCTGAAAATTTATACTTATGATACCGTCTTAAATAAAATTACATACTAGCTGGCATGCAGTACACTTTAAAAATCAGTAAGAGTGTCTTATGTCCCAACGTCATATTAGAATGATAATAATAATAAACGATCTCTTTAAATTCGTAATTACGTTAAAAAATACACATTTTCTTTAACCTCTATATATTTTTTCAAAATTATATAATAAACACGATACTAACAAAAAAGATGATAAAAAACACCCCACAAAAAAAAATAAACATAAATATGAATTGGTAGCAGACGACTTCCCAAAAGTAGCCATTTTTAAAAAATAAAAATTTAAAAATCCCGGCCCCTCTTATATGTTGTATATTACTTTAAAATACACTTTTTTCTTAATCCTCCCATGATATTTTTTCAAAATTATGTAATAGAACGATACAAACATAAAAGAATAAATCACCCTACAATAGAAAAAAAAAATAAATAAGATGTGGTAGCCAGATAACTTGTACAAGGATGCCAAAATACTTTTTTCTCAAATCAAACATAAAAAAATGGTTACTGGGGAACTGTAGAAAATTATTCCTTTCGTAGTATGTAAGTAATTTTATTCGGGTATACACAAAACAGTTCAAATTTATCATACATAAAAACATATGTGTAGAGAACCTAGATACCCAAAAAAAGTCAAGTGACTTTTTTCCCATTGGCCTCACCAGAGCATCATTTTTCTAAAAAATGATTTACATAAAAAAGGGAGTTTTCTTTTTTATTTATTCTCCCTTCAAGTAGGACAACCTGAAAAAATGTAACTTGAAACCAAACCGACGTGTACATTTGTTTACAAAACTTCCTTCGCCGGGTTTTTTTTACATAACTCGGGCCCTTCCTCTCTCATGCACTCATTCTTTCTCTCCATTTTTTTCGTTTCATCTCATTTATTTACTCCTGCCCTACATTAAAACTAAAAAATTTTTTAAGGAAAATAATGAGTGAACGTATATACATTTTATCGCTCGGGGATCTTAAATGTAATAGAATTTTATGTGTAGGGGGGTTGGCCGGGTATGGTAGCCCGGCGACTACCATACATACCACACTTGATTTTTTACAATAAATACACTCACTCCCCATATTTTTTAAGGGAATAATGAGAACTGTAAAAATACATTTTTTAATCGTCTGGATCTTAAATATCATAGAATTGTATGTGTGGGGGGGGGCCCGGTATGGGGAGCCGGCTACTACCCTACAACCACACTTTATTTCTTACAATAAATACTACTTTTCTCACCCTAGATTAAGACTATAAATATTTTTAAAGGGAAGTAATATGCAATATGGTGTAATTGTACTTTTTTATTGTTTTTTGATGCCTGGTTTTTTTTGCTAACTTTAAATATGTTAGTGTAAAATTGTTACTAGTGTTTGTATGCATTTGTAAGGGAAAAAAAGGGGGGTTTTCCCCTTTTTCGGCATTTTCCGCTTTTAACGGCGGTAGCCGGAACCTAACCAGCCGTACAAGTGGGGCCTTTCCCCGTATATACTTTTAAATTTTTTTCTGCCTTCAAATTTGGTACGATTGGGCCCAATTCTTGTCAGCATAGAATGGGGCCCAACACTCATGTGGCAGTATTTGAAAAATCTGGACACTTAGTACCTTGTGGGGGCACAAGTTAAATTTTCACCACTAGAGCAAAACAGTGAGCAAACCAAGGATTCACTGATGTAATGTCAATTAACACTCCCTTTTTTAAAGGAAAATGATGTTAACCCCAAATTTGGGTCTGTCTTTCGTCTTCTCTCCTCCTCCTCCTCCCCTCCTCCTCCTCCTCCTCCCCTCCTCCTCCTCCCCCCTCCTCCCCTCCTCTCCTCCCCTCCTCCTCCCCTCCTCCTCCTCTCCTCCTCCCCCTCCTCCTCCCCTCCTCTGTCTCCTCCCCCCTCCCCCTCCATCTCCTCCTCCTCCTCTTCCTCCATCCCCTCCTCCTCTTCCCCTCTTTTCCTCCTCCTCCTCCATCTCCTCCCCTCCTCCTCCTCCATCTCCCCTCCTCCTCCCTCTCCTGCTCCCCTCCTCCATCCCCCTCCTCCCCCCCTCCTCTGTCTCCTCCTCCTCCATCTCCCCTCCTTGCTCCTCCTCCTCCTCCATCTCCCCCTCCTCCCCTCCTCCCTCCCCATCTCCCCCCTCCCCTCCTCCTCCTCCTTTTCCCTCCCCTTTTCCTCCTCCTCCATCCCTCCTCCATCTCCTCCCCTCCCCTCCATCTCCTCCTCCCCTCCTCCCCTCCTCCTCCATCCCTCCTCCTCCTCCTCCACCCTCCTCCTCCTCCTCCTCCTCCTCCTCCAGTGTGTTTTCACAATTTGAGTACAATTTCAGTACCGAATAATAGTATCAGAACAAAGTTTGGTTATAAAATGACAAGAACTACTACAAATTGTAATTATCAGAACATAAAAAATACATAAAATAATATGAAAAATAGAAAAAAAGGTATATTGGCAACACTTCTGCAAGCGGCAGGACTCGATGTTGCTGTCACATGAGCATCCAGTGCCAACTTCTCGGCCTCATTTCTCGGTAAGGACTGACCCTAAAATTTTTTTTTATTCTAAAATACTTAAAAAATGTGCTCTTTTTTCCTATTAAAAAAAAACAATTTTTTTTTTTTCAAAATATTAGGGGTGCTGTGAACGTATATATACGTTTGGACTGTTTAAGGGTTAAAACCTAATCCTTGCATTTGCTTTAATTGGTATCCATGATAAGAATATAATAAAAGAGAAGCACTGGATTAGCATGGACACTTACCTGCCTATGCTCATGATGAAGTGCAAAGCTGCTGTACAAATATGGTGAATGATATGTATAGAGCAAACCTTTATTTAAAGACAATGATTCACTCTAAGTAGAGCTTCATCAAGTCAGTACAAGGTGTAATACAACATGACAGTTTGATCCTCAGAACTGTTGGATGGAATACCTCTTTGCTAGGCAGAGTGACTGATCATCTACAATTAATTCTCCACAACTTCCACCGCCTCTATTTGATTCATCTAGGCTGAGGACTGATCACTTCAAACAACTTCCTCATGTTGTCTACCCTTTGCAGTATTATTCTCTGTATTTGAATTATAAAACCACTGGTTAGCAAAACATATTTACAGTAAAGATACCCAAGTGTTGCACACGTCTTATTCATCTACATTACAGCGACACAGGTGTATCGTGGCTAAACTGCTGTACAAACATTGTGCATACTTTGTTTATAAATGTATTAAAGTCTTGACAGTTTCAGTTATTAAAATAATGGAAGGCCACTGTTTACATAAACAAAACCATTTTTAAGAGTGGTGACTCCAGAATTTATACGAGGAACTTCCCAGTGGCAGTCTGGCTGGAAGGGGTAGGATGGCTTGTGGATTTGTATTGAAGCTCTATTATAATAATTACTATTTTTAACACAACTGTCATCTTTTTCGGTGACATGAAAAAGAAGAAACAGTTTTTTCCTCTTTTTACATTTAGTAATTTATATAGGAGAAGGGGTCACGAGCTCCTTGCTCCCAGCATTTTAGTCGCCTCTTTATTCTGCTAGAAAAATGACAGGATGGATAATGAGAACCTTCAAAACTAGGGAGGCCAAGTCCATGATGACACTCTTCAGGTCACTTGTTCTATCTAGGCTGGAATATTGCTGCACACTAACAGCACCTTTCAAGGGAGGTGAAATTGCTGACCTAGAAAATGTACAGAGAACCTTCACGGCGCGCATAACGGAGATAAAACACCTCAATTACTGGGAGCGCTTGAGGTTCCTAAACCTGTATTCCTTGGAATGCAAGCGGGAGAGATACATGATTATATACACCTGGAAAATCCTAGAGGGACTAGTACCGAACTTGCAAACGAAAATCACTCACTATGAAAGCAAAAGACTTGGCAGACGATGCAACATCCCCCCAATGAAAAGCAGGGGTGTCACTAGCACGTTAAGAGACCATACAATAAGTGTCAGGGGCCCGAGACTGTTCAACTGCCTCCCAGCATACATAAGGGGGATTACCAACAGACCCCTGGCAGTCTTCAAGCTGGCACTGGACAAGCACCTAAAGTCGGTTCCTGACCAGCCGGGCTGTGGCTCGTATGTTGGTTTGCGTGCAGCCAGCAGTAACAGCCTGGTTGATCAGGCTCTGATCCACCAGGAGGCCTGGTCACAGACCAGGCCGCGGGGGCGTTGACCCCCGGAACTCTCTCCAGGTAAACATGGCTTACGGAGAAAAGATTCTTCTCCACTTCCCCATGGAAATTATTATTATTATTATTATTCTATTTTGTATTTTTATTTGGTCCTAATGGAGATCAATGGCACTTCAGCCGTTGACTCCCTCTCCTTGGTGGAGCCACTGATTTTTATTTATTTTTTTTTTTTTTTTTTTTAGTTTCATGCAACAGATACCAGATAAGTTTTCTTTTATACTGTATTTATAATTTTCATTGGGAAAGGGGGGGGGAAAGAATCATATTAAGAGGTTACAACTATAACCCTCATAGAGCACCTATGCTTATGCTTATAGATTATTATGAGTGATTCATGAAAGAAACATGTTTTATTGCTTTGTTTATCCTATAGGTGTCCTTGAGGTGTCCCATAGCTCGATCGCTAGCGCACTCAGCTCACACACTGAGTTCCGGAGTTTGAATCTCCGATGTGTTTCTATAAGACACCTGCTGTCCCTGTTCACCTGTCAGTAAACTGGGTACCTGGGTGTTAGTCGACTGGTGTGGGTTGCATCCTGGGGCATAACTGACTTAATTTGCCCGAAATGCTCAGCATAACAAGCATCTTTCTGTATAGTAGTACATATATCATTGATGTCAGCTAGGCCTGTATACCCTGTACATGTACTTGTAGAAATAAAGATGTTATAATATTATTATTATTCAAATTCAAATTCAAATTCAGATTTATTTATTTCTTTGCAAGTAATATATTGCAGTTATGTATTTACAATAATGGGTTGCAGTGCAAAGAGAGCCTCTATTATGCTTAGCATTATGGGCCAACTTAATTTAATGGCTTACTGATTACTTCACATTAAAGAAATTTATCATAGTTGTACAATAGTTCTATTAGTTATAGATGAATCTAATTTATATAAACCAGAGGATATGTTCATATTTTCAAAAATGCTTTTTATGAAGCACAATTCAGTTATATTCTTGTCGACAATGGACAATAGATTCAAAAGTAATTACAGTACGTATTGTAATTATATTATGGGAATATAACATTGTGATTTGCTAAAAGTAGTTTACAGTATGAGAATGCTACAATTTATATTTCCAATACTGTTTTTGGGTAGGTATTTATACCACTATAATATACAGTGGACCCTCCCTTTTCATCGATCTCCGTTATCGTCGACTTTTTTCATCAATATTTTGGTTCCGTTTTCGTCGATGGTATGGAACCTGTCCAGTGCCCAGTGCGCAGACAAAGCTGCCTCCCATATGCATTCTCAGGCAGTGTCGCATTGTTTCTCAGTGAGTGAACACATCCTGCGAGGTTATACGAAACATTTTGTAATAATCCATTGTTTTTGGTAATTGTTATTTAGCGTGACTGCTTAATAAGCCACCATGGCCCCCAAAGAAAGCTCCTAGTGCCAATCATTTGGTAAAGAAAGTTAGGAACACCATAGAAATGAAAAAAGAAATAGTTAAAAAATGTGATAGTGACATACACATTGCCGAACTCGGCAGGATGTGCGGGAAGCCACCATCAGTGATCAGTTCCATTGTGGCAAAGAAAAAAGAAATAAGGAAGCTAATGTTGCAAAAGGGGCGAATGCAACAACCAAACAGAGATCCCAGACAATTGAAGAAGTGGAGAAATTGTTGTTGGTGTGGATCAGAGAGAAAGAGTTAGCAGGAGATAGTGTTGTGCAGTCGATAATTTGTGAAAAGGCAAGGCAGTTGCATGATAATCTTGTAAAGAAACTGCCTGAAATGAATGCTGATGTTGGTGAATTTAAGGCTAGCAAAGGCTGGTTCGAAAAATTAAAGAAGCGAAGTGGCGTACAGTGTTGTAAGGCATGGTGAGGGTGCAGTTCAGACAAACAAGTAGCTGAAAAATTCGTGTGGGAATTCTAAGGTATGTAGAGGCTGAAAAATTCCAACCCCAAAAAGTGTTCACTTGTTACGAAACAGGCCTGTTTTGGAAGAAAATGCCGAAGAGGACCTACATCTCACAGGAGGAAAAGGCACTCCCAGTACACAAGCCTATGAAAGACAGGCTAACTCTCTTGTTGTGTGGTAATGCTAGTGGGGATTTCAAAATGAAGCCTTTACTGGTGTATCACTTTGAAAATCCCAGTGTGTTCAAGAAAAATAGTGTTGTCAAGAGTAAATTGTGTGTGATGTGGAAGGCTAACAGTAGGGCATGGGTCATGAGGGAAATTTTCCTGGAATGGTTCAATGGAGTGTTTGGCCCCAGTGTGAAGAAATACCTCCTGGATAATAAATTGCCACTCATGTTTTCTGTTAATGGACAATGCTCCTGCTCATCCTCCAGACTTGGAAGGCCAATTGTCTAAGGAATTCAGCTTTGTAACAGTGAAGTTCTTGCCTCCTAACACCACTCCTCTCATCCAGCCCATGGACCAGTAGATCATTGCAAACTTCAAAACACTGTACACCAAAGCAATGTTTCAAAGGTGCTTTGACATAACCTCAAATTCTGAATTGACCCTAAGAGAGTTCTGGAAGAATCACTTCAATATCTTCCACTGCATAAGCCTTCTAAATAATTCTTGACAGGGAGTGACTTCCAGGACGATGAACTCTGCTTGGGGAAAATTGTTTCCAGATTGTGGCCAAAAGAAGGATTTTGAAGGGTTTGAGGCTGACCCTGTCAACCCTACACCTGTTGTGCAATCAATTGTGGCATTGGGGAATTCCATGGGGTTGGATGTAAGTAGCGAGGATGTGGAAGAGTTGGTGGAGGACCACAATCAAGAGCTAACCACTGATGAGCTGCAAGAGCTTCATCTGCAATAGCAACAGACCACAGCTCAGGAAATTGCTTCAGAGGAGGAGGAAGAGAGATGGAAGAAGGTGCCTTCTTCAAAGACTAAGGAGATTTGTGCAATGTAGACTAAGGTGCATTAATTTGTAGAGGAACATCACTCTGAGAAAGCTGTTGCAATCCGTGCTGGCGACTTTTACAATGACAATGCCATGTCCCATTTTAGGCAAATCTTAAAGAGACGCTCGAAACAGACCTATCTGGACAGATATTTTGTGCGACAGGGATCCAGTGACTCTCAAGCTGGTTCTAGTGGCATTAAAAAACAAAGGAGGGAAGTGACCCCAGATAAGGACTTGGTACCTAGAGGCCTTATAGAGGGGAATCCCCTTCCAACCAATACCCTCTCTTCCCTCTCCCCTCCTCCCTGTCTTCCATCCATCAACAAAAGCCTTCAATAAAGGTAAGTGTCATGTTTTATGTTCATTCTTTTGTACATGTAAATCTATCTTTAAGGTAAAAAAAATTTTTTTGGTTAATACTTCTAGGTGTACGGAACGGATTAATAATTGGATTTACAGTATTTCTTATGGGGAAAATGGTTTCCGTTTTCGCCGATTTCCGTTTTCACTGATTGCTCTGGAATGGATTGAACATGAAATCCAAAGGTCCACTGTATCATTATATATATAGTAATACTGGAATTTTTAAAATTATGGCTTTTTTTCCCAAGTTATGTATAAAAACATCTTCCAACAATTATATATATTGCCATATTATAATGCAGTATTTTTTTGTTCACAGGTGGTGGTTTGGTATACCCGCGATGATGGAGAGGTTGTGCCAGACAGTAGGGAAGTGGATATAAATAAGTGCTTTTGGAACAAGGTCAATCTCTCATGGTCAAATTCCAGGGTTCAACCAGGGGAGCAAGTAAATCTTGATTTGTCTGCTGAACCAGAATCCATCTGCAGTCTGGGTGAGAAATAATTTATATATAACATATATATAATAAAATATATATAATAAAATATATATATATATATATAAAAATAATATATATATATATATATATATATTTTATATATATATATATATATATATATTAAAAATATATATACAGTGGACCCTCAACTAACGCTATTAATCCGTTCCTGAGAGCTCATCGTTAGTCAAAATTATCGTTAGTCAAGTTAATTTTCCCCATAAGAAATAATGGAAATCAAATTAATCCATGCAGGACACCCCAAAGTATGAAAAAAAATTGTTTTTACCACATGAAATATTAATTTTAATACACACAAACTGAAGAACACATGCACAGTTACATGACACTTACCTTTATTGAAGATCTGGTGATGATTGAACTCTTTCTTCATATCCATAGTAATTCTCACCCTTTTTGCTGTAGGGTTGGCACTAGAAGCTTTCTTGGGGCCCATGGTGACTTATTTTGCAGGTGCAATCACTACAAACGCTGTGATAATATGAAATGTTCCGATTGTATGTTTGGATGGGATCGTGGTGGCTCGCTGGCTTGTAAACACTGGCACCCACAGGACAAGTGAGGCGCGCTCAGGCCAAAGTGGACGCGTCTCGAACGGAACGAATAGCGTTGGTCAGGGTTTTTAGCGCTAGTCGAGGCAAAATTATTGCATTAAAATGTATCGCTAGTCGGATTTAACGTTAGATGATGCCAATGTTGGTCGAGGGTCCACTGTATATATATATATATAATATATATATTTAATAAATGTATGGAAGAGGGTAAGGTACCTAGGGATGGGCAGAGAGCATGCATAGTTCCTTTGTATAAAGGCAAAGGGGACAAAAGACAGTGCAAAAATTATAGGGGGATAAGTCTGTTGAGTATACCTGGTAAAATGTATGGTAGAGTTATTATTGAAAGAATTAAGAGTAAGAGGGAGAATAGGATAACAGATGAACAAGGAGGCTTTAGGAACGGTACAGGGTGTGTGGACCAGGTGTTTACAGTGAAACATAAAAGTGGACAGTATTTAGATAAGGCTAAAGAGGTTTTTGTGGCATTTATGGATTTGGAAAAGGTGTATGACAGGGTGGATAGGGGGGCAATGTGGCAGATGTTGCAGGTGTATGGTATAGGAGGTAGGTTACTGAAAACAGTGAAGAGTTTTTACGAGGATAATGAGGCTCAAGTTAGAGTATGTAGGAAAGAGGGAGATTATTTCCCAGTAAAAGTAGGCCTTAGACCAGGATGTGTAATGTCACCGTGGTTGTTTAATATATTTATAGATGGGGTTGTAAGAGAAGTAAATACGAGGGTCTTGGCAAGAGGCATGGAGTTACAAGATAAAGAATCACACATAAAGTGGGAGTTGTCTCAGTTGCTCTTTGCTGATGACACTGTGCTCTTGGGAGATTCTGAAGAGAAGTTGCAGAGGTTGGTGGATGAATTTGGTAGGGTATTGAAAGACCGCTTGCCGTATAGCAAATTTTGGTCACAATTTGACATCGCCGTATTAGCGGAACACTGTAAGGCAAAATGCCGTAAAACGGGGCCTTACGTGTTATTTATATTATTAATATATATATAAAATATATATATATAAATATAATATATATTTAAATTTATATATTAATATATATAATATATATGTATATATATATATTTATAATATATAAAATTTATAAAATATAATATATATATATATATATATATGTTATATATTTTATTATCACACGGCCGATTCCCACCAAGGCAGGGTTGGAAAAAAAAAAAAAAAAATATATATATATATATATATATATATATATATTTATATATATATATAATATATATATATATAATAAAATATATATATAAAAATATAATATATATATATATTATATATATATATATATATATATATATATATATATATATATAATAATTTAATAATAATATATTATAATAATATATATAATATAATATAATATAATATATATATATATGTAAACAGTATTTAGATAAAGGTGGGGAAGTTTTTTTGCATTTAGGATTTAGAAAAGGCATATGATGAGTGGATAGAGGAGCAATGTGGCAGATGTTGCAAGTATAGGGGAATAGGGGGTTAAGTTATTAAATGCGTAAAGAGTTTTTTGAAGAAGTGAGGCTCAGGTTAGGGTGTGTAGAAGAGAGGGAGACTTTTTCCCCGGGTAAAAGTAGGTCTTAGACAGGGATTTGTAATGTCCCCAAATGGTTGTTTAATATATTTATAGATGGGGTTGTTAAGGAAGTAATCTAGGGTGTTTGGGAGGGGGTGGGTTTAAAATATGGGGAATCAAATTCAAATGGGAATTGACACAGTTACTTTGCTGATGATACTGGCTTATGGGAGATTCTAAAGAAAAATTGCAAAGGTTAGGGATGAGTTTGGGAATGTGTGTAAAGGTAGAAAGTTGAAAGTGAACATAGAAAAGAGTAAGGTGATGAGGGTGTCAAATGTTTTAGATAAAGAAAAATTGGATATCAAATTGGGGAGGAGGAGTATGGAAGAAGTGAATGTTTTCAGATACTTGGGAGTTGACGTGTCGGCGGATGGATTATGAAGGTGAGGTTAATCATAGAATTGATGGGGGAAAAAAGGTGAGTGGTGCTTTGAGGTATATGTGGAGTCAAAAACGTTATCTATGGAGGCAAAGAAGGGAATGTATGAAGTATAGTAGTACCACACTCTTATATGGGTGTGAAGCTTGGGGTGGTAAATGCAGACCCGAGGAGACGGTTGGAGGCAGTGGAGATGTCCTGTTTAAGGGCAATGGTGTGGTGTAAATTATGCAGAAAATTCGGAGTGTGGAAATTAGGAGAAGGTGTGGAGTTAATAAAAGTATTAGTCAGAGGGCAGAAGAGGGGTTGTTGAGGTGGTTTGGTCATTTAGAGAGAATGGATCAAAGTAGAATGACATGGAAAGCATATAAATCTATAGGGGAAGGAAGGCGGGTAGGGGTGCCCTCGAAAGGGTTGGAGAGAGGGGGTAAAGGAGGTTTTGTGGGTAAGGGGCTTGGACTTCCAGCAAGCGGCGTGAGCGTGTTAGATAGGAGTGAATGGAGACGAATGGTACTTGGGACCTGACGATCTGTTGGAGTGTGAGCGGGTAATATTTAGTGAAGGGATTCAGGGAAACCGGTTATTTTCATATAGTCGGACTTGAGTCCTGGAAATGGGAAGTACAATGCCTGCACTTTAAAGGAGGGGTTTGGATAAGGCATTTTTGGAGGGATATGTTGTGTAACTTTATATGTGTATCCCTTCTAGACTGTTGTATTCTGAGCACCTCTGCAAAAACAGTGATAATGTGCGAGTGTGGTGAAAGTTTTGAATGATGATGAAAGTATTTTTTTTTTGGGGATTTTCTTTCTTTTTTGGGTCACCTGCCTCGGTGGGAGACGGCCGACTTGTTGAAAAAAAAAAAAAAAAAAAAAAAAAATATATATATATATATATATATAATATATATTATATATATATTTTATTATCACACTGGCCGATTCCCACCAAGGAGGGTGGCCCGAAAAAGAAAAACTTCACCATCATTCACTCCATCACTGTCTTGCCAGAAGGGTGCTTTACACTACAGTTTTTAAACTGCAACATTAACACCCCCTCCCTTTAGAGTGCAGGCACTGTACTTCCCATCTCCAGGACTCAAGTCCGGCCTGCCGGTTTCCCTGAATCCCTTCATAAATGTTACTTGCTCACACTCCAAAAAGCACGTCAAGTATTAAAAACCATTTGTCTCCATTCACTCCTATCAAACCGCTCACGCATGCCTGCTGGAGTCCAAGCCCCTCGCACACAAAACCTCCTTTTCCCCCTCCTCCAACCTTTCCTAGGCCGACCCCTACCCCGCCTTCCTTCCACTACAAAACTGATACCACTCTTGAAGTCATTCTGTTTCGCTCCATTCTCTCTACATGTCCGAACCACCTCAAAAACCCTTCCTCAGCCCTCTGGACAACAGTTTTGGTAATCCCGCACCTCCTCCTAACTTTCCCAAAAATACGAATTCTCTGCATTAAAATTCACACCACACTTGGGCCCCCAGACATGACATCTCCACTGCCTCCAGCCTTCTCCTCGCTGCAACATTCATCACCCATGCTTCACACCCATATAAAAGCGTTGGTAAAATATACTCTCATTTCAAAATTTCCCCCCTTTGCCTCCAAGGGCAAAGTTCTTTGTCTCCACGACTCCTAAGTGCCCACCACCTTTCTTTTTCCCTCATCAATTCTATGATTCACCTCATCTTTCATAGAAACCCCTCCGCTGACACGTCCACTCCCAAATATCTGAATACATTCACCTCCTCCATACTCTCTCCCTCCAATCTGATATTCAATCTTTCATCACCTAATCTTTTTGTTATCCTCATAACCTTACTCTTTCCTGTATTCACCTTTAATTTTCTTCTTTTGCACACCCTACCAAATTCATCCACCAATCTCTGCAACTTCTCTTCAGAATCTCCCAAGAAACACAGTGTCATCAGCAAAGAGCAGCTGTGACAACTCCCACTTTGTGTGTGATTCTTTATCTTTTAACTCCACGCCTCTTGTCAAGACCCTCGCATTTACTTCTCTTACAACCCCATCTATAAATATATTAAACAACCCCGGTGACATCACACACCTTGTCTAAGGCCTACTTTTACTGGAAATAATTTCCCTCTTTCCTACATACTCTAACTTGAGCCTCACTATCCTCGTAAAAACTCTTCACTGCTTTCAGTAACCTACCTCCTACACCATACACTTGCAACATCTGCCACATTGCCCCCCTATCCACCCTGTCATACGCCTTTTCCAAATCATAAATGCCACAAAGACCTCTTTAGCCTTATCTAAAAAACTGTTCACTTATATGTTTCACTGTAAACACCTGGTCACACACCCCCTACCTTCCTAAAGCCTCCTTGTTCATCTGCTATCCTATTCTCCGTCTTAAATCTTAATTCT